TAAAAACCTGAAGCACACACCCAGAGTCTTTCGAGCTTGCGATGTCTGTTTAGCCTTAGAGCAAGACAGCTTCGGCGAAAAAACGATGCCCAAGTATTTATGCTGAGAGACTGTCTCTATCTGTACTACCTCAAAAACACATTTTCACAGTGTCTACGATAACCTCCATTCCTAAATACAATGACTTCTGTTGTTTTTTTCAGATTAACCTTCATTTCCAACGTTCGCAAAACAATGTCAAGTGAGCTGAGGGTTTTGTAAATGTGCGCTCTGTGTCCCCGCAATTTGCTAATTTAAGTCATCGGCATACAGGTAAAGTGATGTAACCTTCGTGAATTGTTTGTCAGTGAAAATACTTTGGCTCTTACTTTTTTCATACAAATGTACTAGTACGGTTACATACATACAAAACAGAAAAGGGTTAACCATACATCCCCAACGGGTTTCTACATTACATTGGAATACTGAAGTATAACTTGAAGTAAATTTACGTATATTTACTTAAAGCATGTAAAGCATGTAAGGTCGAAAACTGAAGCAAATGTACGGTAGTGTCAGGATAATTTACATACATCTCCCCTGTTGTGATTTTAGTTTGATATTGCTTGTGTCTGTTTGTCAAAAACTCGTATAATTGTTAAGTTTATAGAATGGGTTGAATAGACTTTGTTGTTTATAATTAATATGTTCTTTCAGCTATGGTATCTAAGTTCAAATTGCATTGCATTGGGATATCATTTTAAAATCGTAATTAACACATTATTTTGATTTTTCAGAGCTGTCAACTCTGCGGTGATCCTGCAAAAGGCACGTGCGTCTGCCTGATAGAATCTTCCAAAGCCTTCTAGCTGTATTTTGGAACCTTACACAGGCGCACACACAGGCACTGACGCGCTCAAACGAACACGCAGCGCACATTATATGGCGAAAATGGAACATGCTTTTATTACGATTTTCAAAGCATTTTATGTACATATCAGATTTGAGCATATTTAAGTACTTAAAACATTGCGGTCAATCATGTTCCATTTTAAGATATACTCAGTAATTGAGCATTTTTATTTTCAAATTATACCTTAATTGGGACAAGCTGGGTGTAACCGATTCTATTTGCAACCCATTCAGCCTTTAATTTAATTTTTTTTTGTGCAATGGTGTTATTACTTAAAGGTTTAAAATGTTACTATGAATTTTCAAACTTAAAGGTAAAAGTGCGATTTTCACAATGTTGCAGATTAAGGTTACGGTAATTAATTAATTTACTTTCTTACATTATTTTAATTTACATTGTAGTAGTTATTTCTATTTTCAACATTTGTAAGTGTTATTATTAATGCATCTGATCCTGTAAATGGCGAGTAATTTATAAATGTTGTTTGTATTCGATCTAAAAGACAGAAGCCAAAGTAATATTCATTAAAATGTTCTTTATCTAAAATATATTTTGCACCTTCAAATCTAAGTAAAAAGAAAAATTGTAATAATATTTGTTGAAATTGACCCAAATTGTCACAAAATATGCATACATTTTGGATCTGCAAATTTTAAGATGTATCTTGTCTGTTCAAGTTTTAAAAAAAGCATATCGTCTCTTGGCCTATGATGTATACCACACTACATTTGGTATCAATTATACTTTCAAACGTTCATGGAAAAACTGACATATTTTCCTTTACCCAAATTTTTTTAATCAGCTCGACACCATTTTAAATATAGGTTTTTATAAGTAAAAAGCATTAATGCTGGTATTGAAATCCCAGTGCAAAAAGAGAAAGTATTAGGAGCAAGTTCTGATGCAAACCTTAACCACGCTCCCCAAATGCCAATAATTCATATTTTTTTCTATTATTTTTCTATCTGTCAATTTATGTATGCATATCTTTATTTTTATTCTATTCTTTCACCATTTTTTTTTCTGTCGCAAAAGATGTCCTAAATAAACGAATATCACACTAGAATGACTTTGTTTTATTGTTGGATAAGTGTTTTGTGTGACTGCATTGAAGAGGGTGAAAGTTTAGACGAATTCTTTTAGAAGGGTGCCAGTCCATTACATCTGAGGGGTGACAGGTGGGGCGAGTCCATTTCAATTGAGGGGTGTCAGGTTGGGCGAGTCCATTTCATCTGAGGGGTGACAGGTGGGGCGAGTCCATTTCATTTGAGGGGTGACAGGTGG